TTTGTTTGACATGATTGTCGATACCTAGGTTGATGAATGCGCATGATGTTCTCGCAAGCAAATGCTGTCTGGTTCCCGCCTTGCATTTTTGATATCAAGGTGTGAACATCGCCAGTGATGAGTTGTCAAGGAGTTGTTCAGTTGCCTTGCGTCCACAGGTACTTCACTAACCTCTCTTGTCATCCCATCCATATGTAACCTGTAAGCTTATTCCATCTGATAAACAAGAAAAAGACATGACCTCCACACCGCATGTGACTTTGAAGGTAAGCAGTACTTTTCTTTGCATTGTCGAGTGGTCTAGATCTCGAGAGTGAAGAAAGCAAACGTCCATCCTGCCTTTTGACCGCTCGAAGCAGCACATCGCGAAACGACATTTTCGGACTCGAGCAATCATCTGAATGGGGTTGGAGCATGAACCGAACGGTTCGTTCCGAATTACGTTGTACAGTACTTGTATATATGCGTGTGCATGAATCGACCGTTGACGGCTTCCCGCAGTGCGATGTTTTGTTGATGTTAATATGAGACGGAAATGTTGACAGACAACTAGCGGCCTGTCGGCTCGGTCAACATGTGATTCCTACTTCCACGCTTGCAACCACCCCCCTGGACGAGCATTCCCATCTTCACAATGTCCAACAAGGGACGCTTGAAAGTGTTGGGTTGATCTGGATTTCCATCTTGGAAATTCCCAGTGTGGGTGGCCTCTCGGTTGTCGGAACTGCTGTTGACAGAAAGTGATTCCACAATATGGGCCCTTTGTTAAGCAGCCATTCTCGTCAACGCAAGAAAAAGAGAAGCATGTGAAAAAGGCGACAAGAGAAAACAGACCAATCTGAAAATGCGGATGCAACGCTCTTGGCGACCCCAACCGTCCCCAATCATTCCCCAGCGCACCCCCTCCTCCACACGTCTGTCGTCTGGCGCTAAACCGAATGCGGCAGTGCCTCGGCGCATTTCTGACATCACCTGCCGCCGCCTCCCGCCCCGGAATTTCATCCCACACTGGACAGCCAGCCAGCACCGCGGGTGCTCCACGCTCCTGTCGGTCTGTTAGTGCTACCACCGTCCACCGCAGGGCTCGCCCACCAGTTACACACCACCTCAGTTAGCACGCTGCCTGACGGGAGCATCAAGGGAACTGAACTGACTGGGGACTGACCAGTCGAGATCCCGAGGTTTAAACCACCTGGCGATCCATCTTTCTTGCTTCCTGTTCTCCCGTCTCGCCTTTATATATCAATACAAACTGTTTTCCTGTCCTTCCACACCGTCCTCCCTTCCTTCCACTGAACTATTTCTGCCCTTTCCAATCTTCTGAGGATACCCAACAAGCAGCCGTTGATTCTTGATTTCTATTCATCCATTTATCTAGTCGACTAATCGTATAATCATTCACAATGGGTGGTACGTATTACTGAACCGACTTTTTAGCCTCAGCAAATGGTGATTAACATGATACTCCTTCCACTACAGCTCTCGACAGACTTTCTCAGATCGGCAACCAGATCTCCGCTGGTGTTACCGGTGGTGGCCGTGACCAGATTCTCCAGAAGAACGCCGATGATGTAAGCACGACCGACCACATCGAACCGAACGACTTACAGAAAACAAGATGCGACTAACACATACAACCTACAGATCGTCGTCACCTGCGCTCTTCGCACTCCCTTCACCAAAGGCGGCAAGGGCGGCTTCAAGGACACCCACGCTGCTGACCTGATGGCCGGTGCCCTCCGTGGCCTCATCGAGCGCTCCAAGATCGACCCCTCCCTCGTCGAGGACATCAAGGTCGGCACCGTCCTCGCCCCTGGCGGTGGTGCCACCGAGATGCGCGCCGCTGCTCTCGTCGCCGGCTTCCCCGAGTCCACCGCCGTCCACACCCTCAACCGCCAGTGCTCCTCGGGTCTTCAGGCCTGCGTCGACATCGCCAACGCAATCCGGTCCGGCATGATCGAAGTCGGTGTCGGTGCCGGTGTCGAGTCCATGTCCACTAACTACGGCCCCGCCGCCGTCGCCGAGTTCTCGGACCTGCTCGAGTCCCACAAAGAGGCCGCCAACTGCAAGGTGCCCATGGGTGTCTTGTCCGAGGACATGGCCAAGGACAAGGGCGTCTCGCGCAAGGACCAGGACGCCTTCGCTGCCTCTTCGTTCCAAAAGGCCGTCAAGGCCCAAAAGGAGGGTCTCTTCAAGGAGGAAATCCTCCCGCTCAAGGCCAAGTTTGAGGACCCCAAGTCAGGCGAGACCAAGGAGATCCTAGTTGACCGCGACGACGGCATCCGCGACGGTGTCACGGCCGAGTCTCTCGGCAAGATCCGCGCGGCTTTTGCCAAGGATGGATCCATCCACGCCGGCAACGCCTCGCAGGTCTCGGACGGTGCCGCCGCCGTCCTGCTCATGAAGCGCTCTACCGCCGAGAAGCTTGGTCAGCCTATTCTCGGCAAGTTTGTCGCCGCTTCCGTCGTGGGCGTCAAGCCTCTTCTCATGGGCATCGGCCCCTGGAAGGCCATCCCCAAGGTGTTTGAGCTCACGGGCATCAACAAGGACGACGTCGACATTTTTGAGATCAACGAGGCGTTTGCTTCGCAGTGCTTGTGGTGCGCTAACGAGCTTGGTATTCCCATGGAGAAGATCAACCCCAAGGGCGGTGCCATTGCTTTCGGTCACCCGCTTGGCTGCACCGGTGCCCGCCAGGTTTCTACCCTTCTCTATGAGTTGAAGAGGACAGGCAAGAAGGTTGGTGTTACGTCCATGTGCGTTGGTACCGGTATGGGTATGGCTGCCGTTTGGGTTGCCGAGTAAGCAAGCGGTTGTGACGACAAAAAATGGGCGTTGGGTTTCCTTTCCTTTCTTTGATATAGCATATTCTGTGTCATGATTGTATGTCAACAACAATTACTGTAACTTTAGAACAACAGCGTTATCTTTCTTCTTGGATACCATATGCGTTTCATTCATTTGGTTCAGCTCAAACCTCCTGCTCTTACATCCATGTACGCGTAGAAGGTTGGCAACGATATGCAACCACTTCGTCACGTACCCCGTCACACTTCTCACCGGCAGTGTCATCCGATAACCGCTCGCGCGGAAGCGGATATGTTTCAAGTCGCTAGCTGCCTAGGTAGTACTCATGAGAAGACCACGGGAACTTTGTCTCTACAAGTATAGTGCTTGTCCGGTCGGTATGTAGCGAGGAAAACGGGCAGGCGGTCATCCTCCTCCGTTCGCATACCGACATCGATGTGGTGGTTTCCCTTACCCTCTTAGCCTCACACGGGTCTTGTATGATGAACCTCTCTCCGGTAGCACATGTCCCAGGTCCTGCCCTGTCTTCTCGAACTACAAGTACCGTACTTTTGGGCTTCAAAATCTCCAATCTCCTCCCGTTGTAACCATCCCACATGCCAAATGCCACATGCCACATGCCACGTCTCTCGTTTTGGTTCGTTTCACCATTACCGTAGAAAGACACTAGAAGCCAAGTTTGAAACAGAACCGTTCGGTATATCCGTCGTCGTCGTTACGTTCATCGGGCAAGTCCTAAAGCGGTTTCGACGAGACTTTCAAGGTCGAGGTTCACTGTTTGAGTGCCCTGCCCTGGCCAGTGGGCCTGACCAAGTCCGTCCGGGTTGGGTATGTACGGTATGTACGTATTCGAATGCTGTCTGAATGGCGGGCGGGTTTTGACCAATGGGGAAATGTGCCGTGGAAGCAAAGCCCCTTTCGTTGCCGTGGTCAGTCGTCACCGCTTTTGGAGGATCGCTTCGCTCAGTTCTTTCTTTTCGAGAGAATCGAGATCGTGGAGTTGCTACACACTATAAACGGAAAAGTTAGATGCCGAAGGAGGAGGAGCAGGGGAGTTCGTCATGATTGGAGATGCTTTGAAAGTGAAAAGTGATATTATAAGAGTTGAGCTTGTGATTGAGGCGGTTGTACATATGTACAGTATTACAGTAGTGTAGATTCTTTCCTAGTTGGACGTTACATATTGGATTGTGGGGGGTTCTTTTACTCGGGCCCAGTGGTTTGTATGCCCGCTGTCGAGCCGGTTCCGGAGGGGGCTTCCAGTGGGGGGGAAGCCGCTAACAAAGTGCTTTTTTTTACGTTAGTCGGTCCTAGTTCGAATTGATGACAAGGGCTGGCTGGCTGGCCTGTGGCAGGCAAGAAGGAACCAAGAGGAAGTGCCTGGAGTCTGGAGCTCAACAACCAAGGAACTTCCAATTCGACTTGGGCAACCTTTTGTCCAACTTCAAATTCTATCAGCAAAGACGCTTCCCACTTTGCTGGTGTTCGGGGCTATCATATACCTGACCTGACCATCGAACAGCTGCGCCCAACTTGTGCTTTCCAGCTCTACATACCACACGCACATTCGCGGCGCCCACTAGCAACGAGATCGACGATTGGTTACATCACGCCGGACCACTCTAATCTTTTCGAAATCTTCAGCGAACGAAAAGAAAGCTTCAAGAAACCTCGCTTCTTCACTACCTACCGAGTACGGCTCTCCCACGATTACGCCGGCAATCATTGACTCGATTGGGAACCGATTGTGTTTCCCCGCCTTTCTGACGAACCTGATCAGAGCTCAAAGCGAACTTCGGCCTCGGGACCCAATTTACGCCCGCTAGTTCTCGGGGTTCAGTTGCGGTTGACCAACAGAAAGGAACGCCTACTGCCGGCAGGAAACCAGCAGGAAACCGCAAGCCAGCAAGCAACACACGGACAGCCGAAGCTTTTGCACGAACCCCTCCACAAAGGTCGAAAGCCGAACCAAAGCTCGTTCGCTCGAAATCGATCCGCCTCGCTAGGCCGGGCATCTCTTTGCGTCACCGGCTGCTGTATACCCTCGGCCAGTCTAGAGAACGACAAAGTCGTCTTTTCAGTCCGACGACAAACAAGGAAGCGCCGCTACACCAGTGAGCGTGGGATCGGAGTCGGATAGGATCATTACGGAAAGGCCAAGAGGGGGCACAGGAAATAAGCACACCACAGTCATGCCTAGGGATAGGGAGAATAGCGATACATCGGGCGCCCCCGGCCAATCAAAACGGCCGACTTTGTATCACCGCGACAGCAGCTCTTCTCAGGTCGGCGGCGATCAGACAGGCAATGGCAACACCCACCACCACCGCGCAAAGGGCCCCAAGCACGTAGTTGGCGGTTCTCGGCTGCACGGAAAAGCCCCCTCCTCCAAAGGCCTACACAAACACCATGGCTCGACCTCCACGGTGAAGCTGAATCGTACCAACACCGCCGCGAGCCGACAGGGAGAATCACCTACATCGCCTGAACGGCCGCCTTTCCTTGCGTCGAACCACCGCCGCTCAACGTCCCAGGACCTCGTGACTGTCTCTACCAACCTCAAGAATACTTCTGCGACGGCGCTGAAGCGCAATCGATCCAATGCCGACGTAGCCGGAACTGGAAAAGGCAAAGCAAAGTCTACATCCAATCTGCTCAAGCGGTCCACATCCAACCCCGCCGTCCACAAGCTCAAGGGCGAACGACATAGCAAGGTTCACTTTAACATAGGAGACGACGGTCAGGACGACGACGAGGACGATCAGGACGAGTGGGTGGACGCTAGCACATCAGCCTCCCCTCTCCTGTCGCGGCGCGGGTCGACAATCAACGGTGCCGAGACAGCAAACGAGAATCACCTGCATCCGTTGGCTTCCGCGCTACCGCCCCAGGGGCAGGTTGACAGCCCGCGAGTAACACAGGTTCAATTTCCGTTTCCTTCACACCAGCAGCGTGTTCAGCCCAGTAATAATACTGTTGCCTCCGCCAACAATATCTCCCAGCAGCAACAGCAACCGCAGCAGCAGCAACAACAACAGCCACAACAACAACAAATGCCACAGCTCTCGAAACCGCCTACCAACAAGAATAGCAGCAGTCAGACTAGCATCGCGCCAAGCATTGCGCCAAGTATCGCACATAGCACCACTACCAGCCAGTCACATAACCAGCTTCTTACAGAACGCATTCTGAAACGAGTACCATCGATGATTTCGGCGCCCAAGATGTCCACAGAAAGCGTACAGGTCCAGCTAAACGCCTCACGGCCGACGTCTCCTGCTTCTTCGATGCTTTCTTCCCAAATACGTCCAGGAAGTAGCGAAAAGGAGGAGCTACTCACCTCGCGGTTTGTCGGAGGTGATCAGCTTGGATCTACTGGGAATCCCAGCAACCCCGGTGAATCCTTCCTTACCAGCATCCGAACCACGACAGAGAATGGCACCTCACGATCGATGGGAAGTCTCGAGCATGCCGGCCACCAAGGTTCCAAACTCGGGGCGGACTCGGACGACGAAGGTACTGAGATCAGGAGAACCACCAGAAAACGAAACGGCACCCAAACCAGCGTCTCCAGTGGCGTATATGGCGGTCTCAAAGATCTGAACCGAACTCAACAGAAGCTCAATCTTCAGCGAGCCAGCTCAACCCTGGACCAGCCACAGGTTCCACCGCACCACCCAACCCTTGGCCCACTGACTCCCGGCCTCCCGCTCAACGGAAACGGGTACGACAACCGCGACCCGCGCCTCACCAGAATCCTCGAGCGCACCGGCATGGAATACCTTGTCGTCCGCCGCTACCAAAACCCCGTAGCCCGCTCAATAGCACGCATAGCTCAGTATCAGGCTCTGCAGAACGGGTCTTTGAACATGAACGGTGGCGGCCGCGCTTCCCGACCGGGAACTTCTCACTCCAAGCGCGGCTCCGAACTAAGCGGTGGCCGACCCAATTTCCTCCGCGACGGCAGAGAGCCGCGAGACTCGTTCCTCGCTCAGGCCACTATCAACGCCAACCATCAGCACAGCAACTCCATGTCTGCTATCCCCTCCAAAGCCGTCTCTGCCGCAGCCCGGTTTTCAGGACTTGGTGGGATCGGGACCAGGGCTAATAGTACCAGCTCTAGTCTCGACGGCGATGGAGATGGCGGACAGCCGCATGTGGGCATGTTGAACGGTGCCAATGGTGGTTCCAGTTCACGACTGAGCGGGTCGAGTCTGGTGGATAGAAGCGAACATGCGGAGACGCAGGCGATTCTGAGGGCCTTGTGGGACAAGAGTCTGGATCTGAGCGTTAGCCAGGAATAGGAGACCTGCGGGCTTGGGACTGGAGCTGAGGGGCTTGAAGCTGATATCACGAGGAATGGAGTGACGGTTGATGTTGGTGATGGGGTTGGTGTGACTGGGAAGATTGCGAGGAGTTATGATGGGGCGGATAAAGGTGCAAGCGAGGCTTCGGATGCGAGGACGCTTGTAAGTGAGAGCTGTGCTGCCTGTGGTGAGTTTCAGAATGAGCCGCCGCCAGAGTTGTTAAGGGAAGTGGTGGGGTTGGTTAGTAGTGTCAGTCGAAGTGCGTAGGAGTATTGTTCGACGAGAATCTGGTCGGGTTGAAGACGTCAGTCACGAGCTTTCATTGCTGAGAGAGGGGTTGGTTGCTTTGGAAAGGCGTTAAGGACAACGGGCACGATTATGCGTATACATAACAAAGAAACAGGTACTGGTTCATAGGTCATTGAATGTCGGTATGAGGTCAGGTCGTGTAGACGGATACATACTAGACGAGAATGGTGTGTAAAACGGGAAGGGGGGACACTCGAAGGATGGGTCAGCGTGATGTTTTACATGAGCATAGCATATTTAGGAAGCAACTACTGTATTTGGTCTTTGTCTGGTAACTATTTGAGTGTTTAACTGACTGACTTTCGAAGCCTTTTGCTCAGTGTAATTAGTGTGAATAGTGTGTTCCTTCCGGGTCGCAAGTTGGTGATGGTTCGGATAAGCATTTTCGTCCGTGCGTCATCCAAGGTTCCCGCGCTACATTTAATTGATCACGTATCGCATCGAGCCGTGTGCGCCAACTTGACTTCTCTTCCCAATTCCCATCCTTTTGCGCCCGACAATACAAACTTTTGCAATTTCAGTCAACTTACGACAGACCGCCACTCCAACCTCTTTCCAGCCCAGCGAAGTTCTCGGTAACCATTAGCGCCACCCGATTTCGTCACTCAACACCAAATACTTGGAAACAGTTCAAGATGGCAGCGCAACTCGAAGCAGAGCGCAAGGAGTACGAGACCCAAGTACGTTTTACCCATCCCCTTTTCCCGAAAGCGTCGTCATACTAATAGAAGCCCCCATTCTCCAGCTCGAACTCGTCGATACCTCGCTCCAGGATGATCCTCAAAACGAAGAACTTCTCGCCCTCCGGACCGAACTCGTCAACTGCATCCAACTCATCGACGACTCCCTCGCCGAACTTAAAAATGCTTCTGCCGCCGTCCCCGCTCAGAATCAAGAACCGCTCGCCATCGGCGTTCCCTCCTCCTCATCATCACGAAAACCCTCCGGCCAAGGTGCCGCCGCGCCAGCACCAGCAGCAGAAGAACCACCAAAATGGTCGCGCGAGAACCACCCCGCCTTCAAGAAGCCGTCCGCCGCCGCCGCCACCACCACTCCGCAACCAGAGAAGGAAGAGGCGCCAGCACAAGTAAACTACCAAGTCAACGACACCGTCATGGCCCGCTGGCTGTCGGGCGACAAGGGCTTCTACCCCGCCAAGATCGTTTCCGTTACCGGTTCTTCGACCGCACCCATCTACACCGTCAAGTTCAAGAGCTACGACACCGTCGAGACGTTGAGAGCAAAGGACATTAAGCCCATGGCGTCTTCCACCACTCCTACCCCCGGCGCTGCCGCCGCCGCCTCTTCCTCATCGATTGGCGCAAGCGCAAGCGCAGGTTTCAAACGCAAAGCCGCAGATTCCGACATTCATCCCATCCCCTCCTCTATCCCGGCCTCCTCTGCCGCAGGCGCGGCGGCCATGGTCAGGAACTCGGACGGCATCACCCTTTCCGCTGGACCTGAACTATACCCAGGTGCGTTGGCGGCGGCGGCAGCAGCGGCGGCGGAAGAAGCAGGAGGAAAGGGGAAGGGGGACTCCAAGTTTGATAAGGATGGGAAACCCAAGTTCAAGAAAATCAAGGCTAATAAGGAGTTGGAGAAGGGCAAGAACAAGTGGCAGGAGTTTACGGCCAAGGGCAAGTTTGGAAAGGGCGCGACGAAGAAGGAGAGTATGTTTAGGACGCCCGAGGGGGTGCATGGGAGGGGTGAGTTTCTTTTTTTCTTTCCCCCTTTCGTCCGTCCTCCTCGTTGTCGTAATGAAAAGGATATTGTTGCTGACGTGAAAATGATTACAACAAAAACAGTCGGTTTCACCGGTTCAGGCCAGGCCATGCGCAAGGACCCTACGCGGTCTCGCCACATCTACCAGCCCAATGAAGATCTGGATTGATTTTGAGTCTGGCTAACTTGTGTTTTTTCTTGTGTGTTTTCTCTCTCGTCTTTTGTTCGGGGAGATAAATTCCGTTAGTCATCGAACAATCCTCTCTCTGTCTATCCACCCCGCTGTACGACCCGGACCGCTGTTATCTATCTCTAAACCACTTTCCTATCACGACTCGCGCATCTACGGACACGCAACAAGACCCTGATAATTCGGCCACGGGTCCGGCATCCATTCGAGGGTCCGCAAGGTTCCAGCTCTCAAAAGACCGCTCCATTCGACCACATCAATCAGCAACGTCATCATCATCATCAAACAACATGGACTCAGGCGTCACGGTTTTCAGACACGCTTGAATTTGGTTTCTTTCTTTTTCTTTTCTTTTTCTCCTTTACCTCCCCACCCTCAAAACTCGAGTCAACTCTTAGAGACTGGGGCTAACGTGGATAATTTCATACATAAAAGGGAGAAAAAGAAAGAAAGAAAAAAATTGGCATCTAGTTCGCTTGTTGTTTCCAAACGAAGCAAGGAGCACCAGGCAAGACGCAGAGCAATCAAATCAGTTTAGAGAAAAAGGAATCAAAAGGCTGTACGTGCAGTCATACATAGTATACGTAGTAGACCACACTATCATCAAAAATCGAAGCATGAATGAGAATGAGAGACAATCTTTGCCTAACGACCACTTCCACATTCTCTGTCTGTCTTCCGCTTTATGAAACATGATGTTGTTTGAACAATACGACGCTATTGATTATCATGGCTTTGGCGTTGTTTGTTTTTCGCTGCTAATAACCGCTTAATATCCTCGCAAGAATTTGGAAATAACAAATATATATATATACATAAAAATAAAAGTAAAACACGTTATGGGAACCATTGTAGAGGTCTTGCAAGATCCGAGTGCTCTAATGAAAGTAGACATAAGACCTCATGTCGTTATAATGCCCAAACAGGTTTGCGACAAAGGGCCTTCACAAGTGACTTGAAGACAGCTCGACGTGTCCTAACGAGCTAAGGGGGAAGATGAGTGGGACCGACAAATGGACACCCAAGCAAGAATAATCCAGCGAGGGAGTTTGAGGAAGAAAAAAAACCCACATATGATGTCGTGACCGGGGGGGGGGGGGGAGTATGGTGTGCCGTCGTGGTATTTGTCCCGTTCCACACGTCGTCCTGTCCAGAAAGCCCAGATTGAAAGCTTCTCCATCTCGTTGTTGGCTGGAGTCATGATGCCGATGAGTGATAGCTGGGTGTTTGTTTCCGAATCTTGCTTGGATTGTTGGCATTGATGCTTGCTTGCTCAGAGGAATACTGACTGGGCACCACGTCGAACGGATAAGCTGTTCAAATTATGGGGTGTATGTCGATGTGGAGTGGTGTGCTCAGGGAGGCAATGATGGGAAACATAACTAGTGGCGAGGTTTGGTTTTCGTTTCTCAAGACTCAAAGTAGCAGGGTCTGGTATGAAGGAAGATGACCACCTCAACGATAACGGGGACGAGATAGTAAATGGAAGTCGGGAGAAAGGCTCCAAGCAAGCAAGCGGAAAAGTCCACCGATGAATAACCAAGATGAGAAGAATGCCGATCAGATACAGTTCGTGGAGGAACAACTGAATGGATATCGACCTTGACCGTCGTGTTTGGCCTGCGTTCTGCTTTTTGTCTGTGTGGATGGTGTTCGTAGCTAAACCCATGAGACTGAAGGATAGTTGAGTGTCTCTAGTGTTGTGTGCTGCTGTTGGTGGCCGTTCCAAAGAATGCTGGAAGGTAAAGAAAAAAAATGAGTGTCCGAAGTTGTCATACTGTTGGTGATATTTCCAAAGAATGTGCGGTGGGATTGATGAATGATGATAAAAGTTCATGTCGGTAGACTGGAATAAGACGTCGTAAATTTGTTTTCCACGTCCTTTTATGTTGAACATAATCCCCCCCCTCCACCTCGAGCCTGTCCATATGATATTCCTTCTCAGACTCATTCTCCTCTTTCCCCGACTCCTCATAAAGCCAGAAGGAACTAAGCCAAAGATAAAAGAGCCATATGTCAACCATCCATGGCCCTAGCAGCCCCCCCAGTTGTTACTGTGATTTTGCGCCTGTCACGCGATGTCAGACTCGCACCTGCCTGCGCAGTTCTCTCTCCGCAGCAGCGGTAACAGCAAAGACCAGAGGATTCAAAGAAGGAGGAGCGTCGTGAGAAACCGAGGCGATTTCCGCTCAAGACTGGTGAGTGATTATTACCGATACCCCCCAAAACTAGTCCTGAAAGTCGGGAGGCTCCTTCTTGCTCTCGCGCGACACTCGTTGCTGCAGTGGTGACGACGGCGGGTGGATGATGATCTGTGGCGGAAGAAGTGAGTGGGAGGAGATAGCCAGTGTTGCTGCAACGTTCAAGTCTTTCAGAGCTATCGGTGGTATACATCATGATACTGAGCTCATAGGGACCGGCTGGGTTCTATTGCCGTACTATCCATGCTCGGACACCATACCCGAACTCGCCCATGACAAAACCGATGAGACCTTTCGTGGCTTAGCGGGCGAGTAAGTCGATTACTTGAAAAAAACCGTTGCAAAGGACTGTGATAGAGATCAAGAGAAATCGCAAATACATCGAATACGCTCTCTATGGGATATTTCTATCCGAATGTTGCCTGAAAATCAGGTTCAAAGGTGTGAAAAGGACGCTTAGTTGAATGCGTAGTAAGATTATATCTCAGGTGTCATGTCCAAAGGGTCTCAAACTATTTTGTCTAGAACGAGCCGAGCTTTCTGACGTGGTGATTGCTGGTTTGGCTTTTGGCCCCAATGATGAAGAAGATGTTGTCAAAGTTTTTCTTTTTTTTTTATAGCCCATACTGGTGACCCCGTATACGGTGATGATGGGGGTTATATCGGCTTTCCCGAGTGTGGTATCAAGTGTACTCAGGTGCCGGTGAGCGTCCTGGTCTTGACGCTTTGTAGTGTGTGATGAAGTGCAAAATGCCCGGCAGTGCCTCTCCTTGCTACGATTACCCATTTTATGCCGCGTGTGCTCTTTGTGGAATGACGATACGAAGCGTATATAAAGAGCAGGAGCGATAGAGGCTCTTCAAATGAAAGAGTCCAAGAGTCATGACGTGGGTCAGTCTTCTCCTGGCTCAGGAAGATCGACTCTTGAAGCCCCTTGGAATTCTCGGTGATATGTGGTACTTACTGTAGTCTTAGTATGTTACTATGTCTGAGTACTATCCACAAAGTGTTACTCAGAATCGAAGCTGCACTTGTTAGAGCGAGGAGTGGACGCCGAAAGTGTGGTGATGCCTGTGTCGGTGACGATAGTAACGATTTGTTGGTCGAAAACGGTCGAAGCTTGTGTAGTGGCCTTGTGGGAGTTTGCATCGTGACCACACTTTCATCGAGTCAACTTATCGGCCTCCTCGTATACCCGCCTCTTTCACAACCTTGGGATATCTCATCTTGCTTTTCGTGCCTAGGTCGAGATGCATTCACCACGTGCAGGATCCAGTTTCGGATAGATACCCTACCCCTTGACCAAACAAGGCAAGCAGGTAAAGCACGTAAAGCAGGTAAGCTAAAACCTAAACTTTGGAAAAGAAAAGCAGGGTAGGGTTGGAAGTCTATCACCAGTACTACCGCAAAGACTCGGGGCATAGCTTTTCAACTTCCAGGGAAATCAGGCATAATCAGACATACATATGCCCGATTATGTGGATTTTATGCCTTCAGAAAAGAGTGGGGGAGACGTGTTACTATCCCAAAGCACTGTAAATCAGATTCCTCTAGAGCGCTGCCTTTTCCCACCTATTTCTTCAAGGGAGCTGGAGGGTGGGGACATTCAGAATTACCATCTTGCATAGAAATCTTGGTGGGCATAAATATTGCAGTGTACTTGCAGACCCTGCTTGATTTCCCTGGAAGTTGAAAAGCTATGCCCCGAATCTTTGCGGTAGGTATCGTTGCGCTTGGCTGTATGTGCCTACCTAATGTGGTCATCGAGAAGACAAGAAGAGAAACTTTCAATCAAAAACAAAAGTTCCGGGGAAAGTATGCTCAGTGCCTCAAGAAAGAAAGTCGCCGGAATTAGTGATATCATGCCCCAGCCAATGTGGCTTGAATGTACGTCTACCTCCATGATCAAAATAATGACCCAAAGCGCGGGAATAGGAAGCTGAGGCGTTACAGTAAATACGAGTGTCTAGACTCTGGTTGCTCGCAGGAGTAAGAATCACGAGAGGCAATGGGCCCGCCTGGATGGGAGTAGTTGATGTGACATGGAAATTCCGTTCGCTACGGAATGGGCGAGACAAGGATTAGAGATTGTACGGGGAGTTCGACTCGAAAAACAGAAGTGAACCTACACGCTCGAACTCAACACCTCACAGGATTGTAAGTACGTATGTTGCTAGCAAGAAACAGATACGACACTCTGCTTCTTCTTCTTGTTTCCCCATCACGGTACCAAAAATCACCAACTCACTACCAGCCCTATGCATACCAACATAATCGCTTCCAATCGATTCATATTTACTCTAGCAATAACCGCCCTATCTACCGCTGGGGAATATCCATACTCTATCTCCGCACGCTTCATGCTTCTTTTACTTATGCTACCACGCCCCGATTGTATCGTGACCTTGCTGCAACCCAATCCTGTGATCAGGGGAGGACAAACCTCTTATGACCCGCTTTATATTTCTCCTTAACTCTCCCAGCTTTCCTTGCGTTTTTCCAGCCCTTCTAAGGCGCTAAAGCAGGAGTAGAGCCCTGATCATCTTGCTTCTCCTGTTTCCCCTCCTCACCACCACCACCACCACCACCACCACCGACAGCGCAAGAACCTTCTTCCTCCTCTTGCTTCCGCTGTTTCTCAGCAGCCAGAGTTGAAGAAGAACCTGTTACGACAGAAGGAGCAGCAGCAGCTTCCTCGATAGCGGGAGGCGAATCTTCATCCTTTTGCTTCTCTTCTTTTTCCTCGCCACCAATAGCAGCAGCAGCAGCAAGGGGGGAGGAGGAACTGACAGCAGGAGAAGACACTTCCTTGACAACAGGAGAAGACACTTCTTTGATAGTAGAAGAATCATCCTCCTCGACGGCTGGAGGAGAAACGTACTGGACAACAGGAGAGCCTTCGTCGCGACGAGAGCCTTCGAAAAGATCTTGCTCGAAATCAGGAGCATAAGGTTCAGGCGCAAAAAGCTCCTGCTGCTGCCTCCGCATTTCATCATCGTCAGATTCCTCGCTGACGAAAGGGGGAGGAGGAGACAGATGAGCAGCAGGAAAATAACTATAACCACTGCCAACAGCAGCACGAGAAGTGTGGGCTTCCTCCTCTAGCTTCTGCCCCTTCTTTTGCTCCTCAAGTTCCTCACCAACAGGTTCCTCGCCAACAGCAGGAGAAGAACCATTCTACTCTTGCTTCCCCTGTTCCCCACCAGCACCACCATTACCACCAACATCATTACTAGCCGCCGCCGCCGCCGCCGCCGCCGCAGCAGCAGCAGCAGCAGCCGCTGCCTCCCGCTCCGCAAGTAGCACCTGCGGCCTATACGGTATAAATCCCCTCGTCTCAGGCGGTCCAGGCGGGAATTTAGCAGGAATAAACGCCGATCCCCCAATCATACTCGTAGGCGCCATATCATTCGGTCCACCCCAATACGCGCCATCCGTACCATAACCACCGTATCCACCACCCATTGTTCCTGCTGCTCTTGTGATTCCCGTGCCAACAGCACCAGCACCAAAATTATCAAGGCTAGTAGCCGGGCTTGGCTTGACAACACCAGCAACGGTAAACGGTCCTCCGAGACCGATGGGCTTCCTGACGGGGGTGGACGGCATACTACTGCTCGCGCTCGCGCTTCCCATGCCGCCGGTGGCGGAGAGGGCGCCACCGCCGGTTGTTGTTGTTGATGAATTGGAGATTTCAAAGCTTCCCTCGGTCGTCCCGGGTGCAGGCACGGGAGGAGTGCCGACGCGGTGTACAGCTCCGAAACCAGCGTCCTTTGCTGCACCGGTGGAGATACGTGGCGGCTTGAAGTTGAGTGTTTTGCCCTTTTTGTAAAGCGCTTCCAAGACATCGTGGAAGCTCCCGTCGGCCATGAACTCTTCGTACTTTCTGTACAACTTCAGCGCCGTCTGGGCGTCTTCGATAGAGTCGTGGGTGTTCTGCTGGATGTCTTCCTTGAGCAAATACCAAGCCAAGAAAGCAAGCGAAATCTTGCGCTGAGAAGGCGGCTTCATGAAGATGATAGACGTATCGATAACCTGATTTCTAGGCACTTGGATATTGATGACGCGAAAATCTTGGCTGAGGCCGTGACCGAGGAACTTGCAACCCAGGTTAACGAGGACCCAGAGTTTTTTGTAGGCAGTTTTGGGCGAGACGAGGTTGCGCTGGGAGTTGATGGGATCCAAATCGGTGGGTGTAATACCGGACCACTCGGTGAGATAGTCAACAATGGTTTCCTTGATGTGGATGTAATCATCGATGAAGGCAACGCCTTCCCTGGAGCCTTGGCCGCGGACAACCGAGGCACGCGCGATAGCGTGCGAGATGGGTCGAATGGTTTTGGATTTCCCGTCTTCGTCGATATGGATCTCTCTCTCCTTAAGTCGAATAAATTCCGTATCAATTGCGATGACAGTTTCGGGACCGGGAATTTCTGTCTCTCGGTCGAGTAGTTCGTACGTCTTGAGGGCATGTGGGTTGTTATCCCTGAAGAGGACGGAGGTGTCCAGACGTGTCTTCCAGTCCATGTTGAAGCGATGGTTGGCCGCCTTGACCTGGAACATGACGACAACCGGCATCTTCCAAGCAGCGTTGAAGGTAAGTGCCTCAACCTTGGAAATGCCCCGTACCGAGAAGTCGTTGAACAAATGCCAGCGATCCTGGTCTTTGCTCTCTGGCTCCGCGCGCCCAACTAAACATGATATCAGCATCCACCTTCACCTCATCCAAATGAATTATACGTACCATTAACAGTAGCCACCAAATGACTCTTCTGTGGTGACTTGGTCTCAACGTTAACCACCGTACCCACCAACGAGTATACTGTGATATTATGTATCCCCCTGTTGAGATGCAACTTGAGGTCATCCCCTTCATAGCAGTAAACATGGCCTTGGTCAACTATGATACCAATCTCCTCCGGCAGCCATCCAGGGGTAGACCACAACTTGCGGTGCTCGGCAGTGGTGATCTCTGTGCAGAGCGCCAAAACAGCCGGGATGTTGAAGATGATCTTGCGCTGGTCAAGGTTTTGGTAGCGCTGACACTTGGTACAATAACCCTTGTTCACAGCCTCGTTCTCGAGTCCAGCCTTGAGCACTTGCGAGAAAGTGATGCGTTGTGCCTTCATGCCGCGAATGTTTGGTTTCGCTGCTGGGTAGCAGAGCTTGTTGACGAATGTCGTTGCTGTCCTTGGGCTGACATGTTGACAGTGCATACACTTGATCTGATACCTTGCGTCGGTCTCTAGAAGTCTCTTGACTAAATCAAGAGGATTCGGAGGCTGGTTCAGCTTGAACAGAGTCCTTTCGAGTTCGGTAGAAATCGGAGGAGTGCCCTTGTAGTCCTGGCTGATCTTGTCGAAAAGGAACATGGTGAGGTTCTTGACCAGAGTGCTTGGGTTCTTGTCTTTGGCGATATCCTCGAGGACACCACTAACGGAAGCTGCTGATAGGTTAGCTGCGCACTGTATATACCCAATTATACCCAACAATCAATCACTCACCGTTACTAGTATGATTAAGAGCCCTGAGCATGTTAGTAGCATGGCAAGAAGGCCCTTCACCTTTCTGCAGCATGTCAAAAACATAACCCAGCTCGCACAGCAGACACGGATCAGCTAGACAGGCCGTAGCAGCGTGCTGAAGGGCCATGTTTCGCAACAGGGGGGTGTAGTGCATGACCTGCAGTAGGGAATTGGCATAGGAGTTTGTTATGTTATTCTCCAAGCCAGGGTATGGGGTGTTGTTGAAGAAACTAATGACCATGTCAGTACGCTACCCCCGAACAAGGAATCAAAAATCCTATCTGCACTTACCCAAAGTCAAAGTCATCCACACCGAACTTGCTATACTTAATCTCACATATCCTATATTCAGGCGGCGCCTCCGGCCTCAGACTCCAATGATCGTTGTTCGGAGTCATCATCGCCGATTCGGTAGTAGCAAGGGCGTTGTCTTCTGAACCCGTCTGTGACTCGCGCGCCTTTTCACTCAAGAACTTGGGTGCTCGTATTGTGTTGGAAGTCTTCATAGTCGACCGGGTATCTATGTACTGGTTTCTCTGCAAGCCCGTCTTGTTGGGACCAATGTATCCCCAGTCGGTCTTGGTAAGAGTGCTCAAGATGTTCGGATCGATCTGCTGCGGAGGAGCGCCCACGTCGGAGATGATATCCGGCGGCAAGGCTGAGAACAGCTGTTCTCGGTAATAAGGCAAGCCGATGCGGCTCAGGGGTAGTTCCTCCAACATGTCTGGATCTGGCGGCAACAACGACGGCTGGGGAGGGTCCGGCAACCTAGGCGGGATTCCTATCTCGGTAAACTGGATCTTGTTGGGCGACCCCCAGATGTAGGTGTTGTGCTTGTTATCCGCAAGTGCTTTTCCTTCTCCGGTTCTCGACACGTCGAAATGCAGCACCACGCCCTGAGGCTGCGTGTAGCAGACCTGGCTGTTGCTTGGATTCAACAGATCCGTCACGTGGATTTGGCCCGCCTGGTTGACGACAATGGCCGTTGTCAACATCCTCGGGTGCATCCTCACGTGAGCGGCCAGCGGCGCAAAGGGAACTGGGTTCATAGCACTCATGTTCTTCAGGTCAAACACCTTGACGTAAGGGTCGAGTATGGCCGGGGTGTTGTGTGTCTGCCTGTGTGAGCCACCGCATGTGACAATAAAGTCGTTGGACGTGTCCAGATCGTTGATGAAAGCCCCGTGGGCCTGCCATTGTTTCTTGATAGTAAAAGTAATGGGGTCCAATATGTTGACGGTGCCCTTGTTTGTTGCCGCGCAGATGTACCGGCTCATCTTGAGGAAGGAGTACTGATCTTGTGTTGGGAGCTCCTTGACGACCTCGCCCTTGTTGACGTCAATGACCAACATCTTGTTCTGCCAGCCGGCCACGAGGATCTCGGAGGTCCCCTTGCTAGTGAAGGACATGGCACGCAGATCCTGCATGGACTCATGGCGGATACTCCAGATGGGCACGCCACTACGTGCTGCCATGTAGACGCTCCGGCTTCCGAGGAAGATGACGCCCTTGTCGACGAAGAGGAATTGGCGGAGGGGACCGTCGGTTTCGGGGTGTATTCGGAAGGCAGTGAATCGCTTGAGCTCGCGGCCGATGAAGGAGCCGGCAAAGCCCTTTTGGGTGCCGATCCATAGCAGCTCATCTTGGTTATCAAAGGCTATTGTCGACGCGGGTCCGGCATGGTAGTCTGGATGGATTGGCGACGGGTAGGCAACACAGCCCAGCTGAGAGACAAGAGCATGGTTAGTTAGCCAGAGAGGCTTTGTCGAGGACCTTGAGGGAGGGAAGGGTGGAAGCTACTTGCCTGGGTCCAATCCCGAGAATCCATGACCGTCTAGTATGTCATCTTTGGTGGAAAGGAATACTGCTTGGAAGCAAATACCGTTCCCACAGTTTAAGAACTGCAGACTGGGTTGGAGATATTGTAGAAGATAGAATAGAGTTGGTGAATGGGAGAAGAGCGAAGCCAATGCTTTGTCCGACTCCAAGATCCCCGCCAAAGATGTACGTACCTCTCTGCCTAGGTCTACCAGGAACCGTCAGGGTCTGGGCCGCAGGGCAGCTTCGAGGGGGCCCCGCTACCAAGCAACACTGCCATCCCTTGCATTTCCACACATAACCCTGACCCTGAACTGCTACGGCACCCTCCAAAAAAGCTGCTAACAATTTACCCCAAAACCTTCAAACAAAACTTGGGCAGGTGGGAAACTCACGACTCCAAACATTTGTCTCACGACATAATCAAGACATTGAACAATATATATCATTTTCGATAACAAAGGGATGGTAATGTAACGAGTTGTCTAGCAAGCAAGACTAACAGAAAAGGTATACTACACCAGACAACCAAAACAACCAAAACGAAAATGCCATCCTATAACGTAGTCAGGAAGACGGCATGAACCAGTAAACCGAGATAATTCCAAGCAGCAGTGTCAACCTCCCAAAACGCCCCAACTGTTATTCTATGCAATTCCGCACTGGCATCATCACCATCTCATAATCACTATCTCATCCGTCACCACCAACTTACTTGGTCAACCAGCCCAAGTAATCAGCAACAAGCAGCGTCACCATGCTACAAAATCATCGTCAGCTCAAATCCATTCATCAAGTCACACATCACCAAAAGACTCGGGGACAGGAATAACTTACGCATGCGGCGCAATGCGCACATAATACGTTCCAAAACCCCGATAAAACCTAAACACGCCTTCCTGCTTCGCCACTTTAGCAAAGCAATCCACCATACCATTATATGGTAACTTTCCATCCGGGCCCCTCGTCTGCTTCTGCAGTCTCGTCTTGACAAAGTCAAACGGCAAGCTAAAGAACGAGGCAAAGAAGCCGGCAATAGCACTGGCACTGAGTGTCTGCACCTTGCTCGACCACTGCGTCCTGGCCTTCAGCTGCGCTTTCGCCTCCGAGAAGAAGGCCAGCTGACCAAAGTTGAGCGCCATGGCGCGCACCACCGTGGGGGCAGCACCGGCCCAGAGCGCCGCGACGCCCTCGTTTCGCGCAATGCCGCCGAGGGCGTCAATGACCGACTTGTAGTTCTTGCGCTCCGCCACGGGCTTGAGGCCGTCGCTTTGCATGCGGATGAGGGCGAGATCGGCCGGGTTGCCGATCATGGCGGCGAGACCACCGGCCGCGAGACCGGCCGAGGCCCGCTCCTTGAAGCCTACCGACTGGCCCTTCTCCTTGGCCCGCGCCGAGAGCCGGCTCATGAAGGTGTCGAAGCAGCCGATGCGGGCCGTCGTGTACACGGCTTGTCGGAGGAGACCGGCCGAGAGGCCAGTGTAAAGGTCCATGGCCTTGCCACTGGCGATAATATCGCGCGTGACGCCGAGGGGGGTCGGCTTGGGACCGCCGGCCTTGCCCTCGCCGGCCAGCTGGATACGCACCTTGATCATGTCGATGGGCTGGATGACTGTTGTGGCCACCATGCCGCTGAGACCACCATTGATGAAGGGGAGCGCTGCCCGGACGGCCGGAGTGTGGAGAAAGTCGGTGGCGGCAGTGACCGTCTCGGCCGTGGCGTTCTTAGCGGTGTCAACGACATCTGATGTGGCGGCCTGGGCCGATTGCTTGACAGTGGACATGGTTCTTGAAATTTGAGGCGTATGGATGAACTTGTTGACAAGATTCTAGAACGACTGAAGAACAGTGGGAAGACACCGACAAGATACACGTGTGTATGTGTTGTCCGGGGTCTCTCTTATACGTTTGTTGATGAGCCAACAAGTCCTAGCGGGTACTGCAGGCTTAAAGCCATGTTAGCCCCAAGTCATCTTTTTTTTTTTTTATGGAGTCTCTTCTGCAGAAATATCTCGATCTGGCAACTTGGATGATTGCTCCAGCAACGACATCAAGATCCCATCGGACTTGAATCGAACCAACGCAAAGGGAAAGAAAAAGAAACGGGATAAGCAGAGTAAGCCGTCATCTATGCCGTCAGCCTCTGCCCTGTCCGGGTTCCTCCAGGGAGGGCTCCAGTGGTTGCGGCCATCCTAGACGACCGTGACAGAAGAGAAATCATACGGGATACCCGATCGGGAAAAGGAGGAGCTTTCGGGACCTGTTGGGAAAACCCAACCCAAGCCAGCCTCTGATATGATATCCCACGTGGAGGTGGCACGGTGATCATCGGGAAAGGTAGGGACTCGTTTCTTCTTTTGCATGCAGTACGAACGGTTTGGTGAGGTGGGGCCGGTCTGGTCAAGGAACACTTCCTCCATTCCACCGTTCCACTTTGCGGCTGCGGCAGGGCTCGGGCTCAAGCGGGGAACGGGGGAGCCCGGGCCGGGGCAGCTGAAATGGGGGACCAGAGTCTGGGGATGTCATTGAGAAACGGCAAAAGCTGGGGGAGGCGGGTTTGCTATGAAAGCTTGTCCCAGAAACAAAACAAAACAAAGGGGGAAAAAAAATCACGACGGATTATGGTTGCTCAACCATGATCCATGGTCATCGCCAGGTTACAATTCTTGGTGGTGATGTGAAATGATGAGACGGGATTACACGCAATGGACTCGAACTTACTGCGGAATGGCAAGACGGTCTCTTTTCGCAACTGTAGGGACACTCCCGGTAGCTTTCGTCTTGTGCGAATCGAAGCCGGCAACAATATTTGGGACGAAAGAGGCAAAGCTTCGGATATCCTCGATGAAGGGCAATCAATGTCCCGTTTAGCTGAAGTTCGAGGTTTGTGTTGTTGCACTTTGAATCCGTATATTCCAGTGTCGTGCTGCAAGCTTATGAAGCCCTCGCGGTTGGATGTGTTTGCTGCCGAAATGTCAGAGCGGGGTCGCGTGCTCTGCTTTGCACGGTCGGTCTTAAGGACTGTGACCGACGGTCGAAGTAGAAGCGGCGAATAGTCCTAGGCAGCAATCCAAATACGACCGCAATGGGACTTGGTCGTCTGAGTGCTTCCTTGAGGAAAAGCAATATTGTTTAAAGATGGATGGAATGGTTGCTGTTGAGTTTGGTGGTTTCTTTGTCCTCGTTACTTGAGGTCTGGTTTCGTCCTTCCTGACTTGACTTGGCGTCTAAGTCGGAAACAAGAGATGCTTCTGATGAGAGAACAGCAAACAACTCGAAAGGAACGAAGAAGGGGAAGCTCCTGGGTCACGGCAAGTTGATAGGGCTCGGATTACAGATGCATCATCTGATGGGGAGAAGGGAATCGGCCATTTATTTATACAATAAGGTCAAGTCCGACTTAGCTTCATCCGGGTCGGTTGCTCCCATCGATACACCACAGTCGCGGCGGCTTATAAGTGGAGGAGGACCAATGGCTGGGCTGGACGGGGGAAAGGGAGGGGCAGAGGAAGTCTTGGAAGAGTGTGACCCCGGATCTTCAAGGGAGGAACTGAGGCACAACCGGGCTGGATGCTGGATGGAAGGAATGATTTGAAGAGCGAATGATGTAGGTTTCGGTTTTTTTGGGGTCGACTATTACCGACACGATCATGCACAACAGGAACCTGTCGGAACAGAAAACCAAGACGGGGTCGCAGCAACGACACCATTGCTTGTTCATGATACCTTCCACAAGGTTCCGACTGACAGTAGGCTGTTTGAGGTTGAAGCAACACGATTCAACTGAAATCCAGCCATGATACTTACAATGTCAAGTTGAAAGGCCATTAGCCATCAAGGTGCTATCTTCACAACCGCAGTTGCCCTCTCACATCCCGCGCATGTCGACAATTATGGCTACCACATGTTATCAGGAGGCCAATACCAGTGCTCCTTCTATCCACATCAGACATCAACAACACGCAGACACCCGTCTTCCATTTCAGCTGGCGACCACAAGAAAGCAATATTGACATCAACATGTGCACTTGCTGATTGCACCTCTTGTCACTTCAAAGTCATAGCCTGATGCTGTACCTGTTATCCCCGGGCCGCCCAACTTTAGCACAAGGCACATCATTGGAGCCCACCTCAATCAATGCGGGGGAGATCGGAACCTGGGGGAGGGACCTCACGGACAGATGGAGAAACCTCAATCAGGAGAGAAAGGGGACATGATCGTCCACGCGGCTCTCGATAGGTGCGCCTCTATCTTTCCAACCGACCCGTTACTTTCCATCCTACCAGCCGACCTACATACATCCCTCTACCTACCAACCGACCTTGAATGTCTCGGTTCGATAAGTGGACGGGAACGTCACCAGACCGGATGCTTGATGGCGGATTCGCGGGACCTCTGCTGTAGGAACTGACCTAGTGAACCCTTGACAACAGCCCAGCCCAGTCCAGCCTTTGATCCCCTGGAAGCCCCACACTTCCCCGTGTTAGCAACACTCCCTCCACTGGAAACCTAACCCAAGAGAGAAACAGGGCATGCGCATCTCCCTTTCCATCTTGACGACCGCTTCACTTAAGGACTATGTCCACTATTAACCTCGCCTCATAAATTTGTCTCGAGTCCATCAACAATTTGTTACGACCTCCATCAACACCAAGGCTGGTAGGTATTCCCTCCTGCCCCTGGTTCACTGATCAATCGCGTGGAGATGACGTCAATGTCAATGCTGTCGGTGGCCCGCTAGGTAAAGCGCCTGGCACTTCTAGCGCCCCAGGCCCACCCACGGGCAGTCCGACAGCGCAGCCGTAGCGTTGCGCTTGGTGGGTGTTAACGGCAGGACCCATAGGTACCTAGGTACCTAGCTCATAGCAACCCAACGGAGCAACCCGAACCTGGACCTACCTCTAACTCTCCAACATCCGACCGACCCTACCAACAACCTGACTCTCCGCGTGATGGAATTTGCTAGAGTATTGTCCTTCTCACAACCCGTCATCAACTACTACTCACGTAGTGGACCATCCCCCGGGTCCAGAAACCCTCCCCCGAATTACCACCAAGCACATCGTTCGAGACCCAGGTCACCGGTGGAACGATGTCGGCTAATTTTGGGGATGGCCAGGGACAGGGACGGGAAAAGCAACTGAAGGTCGACGTTGCCGGAGCTGGATCCGCTTTTCACCGCTTCGTGAGACGACATGGAAGATAAAAGTTGACGACATGTGCATTTGGGATCCATGTTTCATATGGAGTACGACGAGCGAGTGCTCTTTGAGGACTGGTCGATACCCAGTGGTAAATCATAGACTGGTTCATCTGGGAGTTTTCATACAGTCAAAGAAATCAGACCAGGAAAGAGGCACGATAGAGTCTTCCTCTCCATCGCCATCATCACGGTTAGGACTGTGGACTATTACTTATCAATATCGAATTCATTCACTTGGTAGTCAAATAATCTGGCATTCAACCATAAGCCTACAAACAATTAACAGGCTCTTATTCTCTACCCTCTTTATACCTCCCAAACCCCGTACCAGTCCATACTTAATATATCGTTCCCCAACAGCACTCCACGCCCTCATACCCAATGTGATCCCATCCCTCTTTTACTACCTAATACCCAGTACTAGGAAACGTAGTCAACCGTCCACCATCGACGACAATCACGTTTCCATTCAGGTACGCTCCGGCCCGCGAAGCCAGATAAAGGATTTGCCCAGCCATGTCAAACTCATCGCCCATGCGACCGAGAGGGACCGTCTTCTTGTCGAGAGGGATGACGCCTCCGCCGGTCATGGAGCCGCCGGCGGCTTGGACGATGGGAGCGGCCATTTCGGAGGGGAAGACTATATAGTTGGTGTGAGTATTGGTCTGATCGGAAAGGGACAGGGATGGGAGGTGGTAGTAACTTACGGCCGGGGCAAATTACGTTGCAGCTGCGAGGAAGAGCAGGTTAGCAAGTGTTCTTTGAGGAGCGGTAGATTCCCCAATACGAGATGAGGTCCAGGTCAAGACACCAAACTAAGAAGCACCAAGGAGTTGGGCTCAAACGGACACTCGTCCCGAACCATGTCCCTAGCTTTTCTCATTTGAAAGCTGCCAGTCTGTCCAACTTCTTTCACCTCTCTCTCTCTCTTCACCTTCATCACAATCCCCCCACTCCTTCATCAACCAAAACAGAAAGAAAGAAAAAAGAAAAAAGATCCAAAAACTCACCGAATCCCCCACCTAGGCAACAACACAGCCAACTGCTTCCCCACATGCGTCGCCGCAGCCTTACTCACACCATAAGCCCACCCGCCCGGAGCCGCCTTATTGAGTGCCGCAATCGAACTCGTCACCACAATCTGACTAGCACTCTCCCTCCACACCACCTGTCCCTCTCCCTGTCCCTGTCCCTCCTGCTGCTGCTGCGCCGCCAACGTATTCCCCTTCTCCAAAAGTTTCAAACACGCCATACTCGTATACCACACGCTGCCCACATTCACTCTAAACGTCTGCTCCCACTCCTTGTCAAAGTCCACCGCCAGAGCTTGTTCGCGAAATTCTGAGAGACTCTTTGATTGGCCAGTCTCTTTGTCAACGACAGAAACCTGCGGCCCGCCGACGCCGGCGTTGCAGACGAGCAGGTTTAGGTAGCCGGTGTACGGGTCGGAACTGATGGAAGAGACGAGAGAGGAAAGGGAAGAAGGGGAGGTGACGTCGCATTCGAGGGGGACGACTACCGGTTCCTGGCCCTGGTTCTGGGGGAGAGAGGAGTTGATTTTGTCGGCGGCGGATTGCAGGACGGAGAGGCGGCGACCGGCGATGTAGATACGTTTGGCACCGGCGGAGGCAAGGGATTGAGTCATCATTAGGCCGATTCCTACGTTGAGGGTGGGTTGTTAGTCGGGTTTCAAGCATCAGGGTGGGGGGTGAGAAGAGAGACGGGAAAGGAGGAAAGATGGAAGAGTGGCATACCGGAACCACCGCCTGTGATGAGAGCGACGAGACCCTTGACGGAGAAGAGGTTGCTCACGTCGATAGGGGGCGCGGTGGCCGAGGAGGCTGCTACGGGGGCGGACATGGTGACTTTGTTGGTAGATATCTTCTTCGAGTTGTGGAAGTTCGTGATATGGTGAGTGAGGGGAAGTGTTGGTCTTCCGTGGACTGGGTGAGTGAAGATGTTGGAAATCGAATTACTGTTCGACTTATTAGTGACTCTTCTTCTCTAGACTCTGATTCAGACACTTTGAAAAGACGGATGGGAAAGTGAAGAAAAAGTTGAGATGATCATATTTTAAGTTTTTACATCGGACCTGCTAGAAGCTCCGATTTGTCATGATGTCATGAGAAGGATATGGGAACTTACATTCGTCGTGAACCTGTGAATTCTTGGGAGTTTCTCTAATAAACTGTCACACCTTCCTCGGTCCCGAAGGTGTCTTTTATAACGATGAAATTACAAATCAAATATGTATGAAGGAAGCCCCGGTCGTTGTCATAGACTCACCTTGCTCTTCCCCTCATACGCTCGGTAGCCTCCGGAGTGGACCCGCTCATCGGCCCCTCCTCCTAGGCCCGTTCGGCATCTCCTTCCGACGGGAATAGCTCGTCATCGGCCCCGCTCTCCCCGCATGTTCCTCGGGGAGTTTTTCAGTTGGGATGGTCGACTAGCGTCAGTTACAGCTTGGCTTTCTTGGGACATCAGTCCCGGTTGAATGATCTTCAATGATCTGGGTCCCCGGTACGGTTATATCCGTATATCCTCCGGGTCCAAAGTAGACGTTTGGGCAAAGTGCAAACGAAAGTCACCATCAAGTCAAGCAAAACGAACCTGGATACGTAAGCTATCCAGACTTCCCAAACGTAACAAAACTTTCTCATTCCAACTGGTATTTTGCTCTATCTCCCTAATGCTTCGTCTCGAAGAACGTAAACAGAACCCTTGCTAAGGCTTTTCCCGCGCTCAAGCAAATAACCAATGTGAAGCCTACTTGATCCCTTTTACATCTTTGACTCGAGCAGTGCAGTTTCTTTGCTCGAATTCGCCGAGAACACCAATTTTCTCTTGACCATTTAAGCAGAGGTATCGGTGATGAGCTTGGTGATCTTGCCAATAGCAATGGTTTGACCCTACAAAGCGTGTTAGTCCAATTTCATATCAAGCAACAGACAAGAAGAAACATACCTGGTCACGGAGGGTGAAACGACCCATCTGGGGGTAGTCCTCGAACCGTTCAACACAGACGGAGCCGGCACCACCGGTAACCTCGAGACGAGCAATGATGCTGTCGCCCTTCTTGGCGTGCGAAGGAGGAAGCTTGGACTTCCTGTTGGTGCCCTTTTGGAGCTTGTGGAGGAGAGCGGCGAAAGTAACCTCCTCGATAGCGGCGTGGACGTGGAGCACGCAGTTGAAACCGGCAGTCAGAATGCTCTTGAGGTCAAGAATACGGATCTGAGCCTCGAAAGCGGTGACGTTGTGGACAAGACGCTTGGGCGAGCAAAGGACGAAACCGGGCATGATTTCTTCTTCTTCGATGCCACGGAGACGGAGACGGACTTGCTCACCGCACTGAGCAACGGGAACCTCATCTTCCGTCTCGCCGTAGACGGCCGAGATTTCAATCGTCTGCTTGTTAGGCATCATGATCAAGCTCATACCCTTCTTGATCACACCGGCCTCGATCTTACCCTCGATCATGGTACCCATATCACGATACTTGCCAGAAACAGCCATCATGAAGGGGGCGTTGACCTTGCGCTCGAGAGAGCTCATGTTGTCGAGGTACTCAAGCAGCGAGGGGCCATCATACCAGGGGCAGAGATCCTTGGGCACGCGGTCCTTGATACCCATGGTCTGCTGGGCAGCGACGGGCATGAAGAAGACATCCGTCTTCAGGTTGTAACCAGTACCCTTCAAGAACTGGGCAAGCTTGGTGGTGCACTCCTTGTAGCGCTCTTCGGACCAGTTGACGGTAGGGTCGTCCATCTTGTTGATGACAACGACGAGCTTGTTGACGCCCTGGGTCTTGGCCAACATGGCGTGCTCACGGGTCTGACCGCCCTTCTCGAAACCGGTCTCGTACTCACCCTTACGGGCGGAGATGACGAGGATACCAACATCAGCCTGGGAAGCACCACCAATCATGTTGGGGACATAGGTCTTGTGGCCGGGGGCATCGAGAATAGAGTACTTGCGCTTGTCGGTCTCGAAGAAACCACGGCCAACCTCGACGGTCTTGCCCTTGGCACGCTCCTCGTTGGTCAAATCAAGAGCCCACGAGAGGTACCAAGTCTCACGACCCATATCCTTAGCCTCCCTCTTGTACTTGTCAAGTGTACGCTGGTCGACCATGCCGGTGACGTAGAGAATGGCACCACCGAGGGTAGACTTGCCGGCATCGACGTGACCGATGAAGATGATGTTCATGTGCTCCTTGCCGTAGATTTCCTTGAGGGTCTCTTCGTCAACATCGGCGGACTGAATATCCTTCTCGACAGCATCGACGTCGCGCGAAACCTTGTTGCCGGACTTAGCGGCCGAAGGGCTGGCACGGCCCGAAGAGGGAGCGGGCGAAGTCCTGCCGCTAGCAGCAGCAGACTCGGTCTTCTCAACAGCCTTGGTAGCAGTCACCTTGGCGGCAGCCTCAGCGGTACCCTCCTTCTTCGCAGCCTCCTTCTTGGGCACCTCCTTCTTGGGCTCCTCCTTGGCGGGAGCAGTGCCAGAGATGGAGAGAACCTTGGCCGCGGGCTTGGGCGCATCACCACCGATGCTCAAAACCTTGGCGGGAGCATCGCCTCCGATGCTGAGAACCTTGACGGGAGCGGCAGCCGGCTTGGGGGCGTCGGCCTTTGGTTGCGCCTGGGCAGCGGGCTGCTCTGGCCTCTTGACGATCTGAGGGGCAGGCTTGGGCGCATCGCGGTTCTGCTGTTGCCTCTGCTGGTAGCCCTGGTTCTGCTGGTAACCACCGTATTGTTGTTGCTGGCCTGTTATTCACGTCTATCAGCTACATTCCTCGATGAAAGACTAGATGAACAAGCGGCGGCCTACCGTAGCCCTGGTTATATCCCTGCTGACCGTAGACAGCGCCATAACCCTGCTGCTGCTGCTGCTGCTGCTGGTTGTTGTTGTACTGTCCGTAGCCCTGCTGGCCGTACTGGGGGTAGCCGCCGCCGCCATAGCCCTGCTGGGCGCCGCCGTAATATTGCTGCTGGTACTGAGGAGTGAAGCCGGGAGCGGCGAACTGGCCGGGAGTGAAGGAGGGGGCGTTGGGGGTGAAGGCAGCAGCCCCGGGGCGGAAGGTGCCGGCGTTAATGTTCATCTGTTGCTGGGCCTGGCGCGCCAGGCGCTCGTCCTGGTCGGCGGCCTCCTCCCAGTTGTTCTGGACGTTTCCAGACATGTTGGATAGGTAGCGGTCGCGTGTGATTCGCGGGAAGGTGCCGATAGAAAGTGTCTGGTTTCGGGGTCTCGCTCGTGGGCTGGAGAGTGGTGAGAATGAAGATGATGGTCAGCAAAGATGAATTTCGACTCTGCCGGCTGGGTAGCGACGTGGGTGTGTATAAGGTAGTTTCCTTGCGCGAGGAGCGAATCCTGAAGTCAGGAGATGGAGATGGATGATTTATACTGGAAGACAAAATAATGGTAAGCTAATGCGACCACAGACAGCCCTATATCAACTACTACCTCTATACACCGTACTTACCCTGACGACGACCTGTACTTGGTTGTAGTACTCTGAGTGACCAGTCCAGTCGGCGCGTCCAACTTCAGGTACGTAGCAAGCGAGCGAACAAGTCGAAGAGAGATTTGGATCAAGAAACCTAACGCTGGCAAGGGCTGTAGTGCCCCACCGATGATTGGGGAGGGCGTGCAGTGAGTGGTGGCGGGGTCCATGACAATTTTTTGTCCCGTTGTCTACCTACCTTACTGTGTGCGCTAGGACGGGATTGCCGCCACACACGGTGCGACTCGGGGAGTCACTCGCCGAAGAGGTGCGCCTGAACCCGGCATTCAGTGGAATGGGATCAGCAGAATCACAGTGCGAACCTTTGCAACGAACTAAAACTATCCCCTAGTCTCACTCTCTTGGCACATGCACTGTCCCAGGCCGGGCCGTCCATGAACCCAAAAGAGACGAAAAGAAGCCCTGGACCCGCCCACCAACGTCACTCTTGAGGTCCTGAACATCAAACGGACGGGACGAACACTAACAATTAGGCATCGCCCAAGTTCACTTGCTGCCGGAGAGCATCAAGGTAGCTACCTACCTATTCCGTACATAAAACTCCCACACAGGACAGGAATATGATATACACCGTACCAATCAAATAACCACACATTCTTACTTGAGCAAATCATGGACGCACTGTTGGCCAAGCTCGGGTCTCATGCGGTCAACTACGCCATCAGATCAGGCATCGCAATCACTTCCACCTACGCCGTCAACCAGTGCTCGAGGCTGCTCAAGACGGTCGACGACAAAGGAGTGTACACCGAGCTCAAGAAGCTGCAGAAGCTTCTGGATAGTAAGATCAAGGTGAATGGCCATTATTTCGAACCCAACAATGCTAATCCCCCTTCCAACAAAGACACTCCTTGCTAATACGAATATTCCCCACTCCAGATTGTTTCACCAGCAATCGACCTGATCGAGTTCAAGTATGCCCAACCTACCTCTCTCCTTACTTACCTTGTCCTTGACCCTTACAAGAATGTGACTAACGCTGTGTCCAAGATCTGGCCGTGGCAATGTCTTCCTTGAGGCTGCTGTGCCTCTTGCCAAGTCTCTCCATCGAGACATCATTTCTTTCGGAAAGCGCCTAAACGATGCTGCTACTGCCGAAGAGAGCTCCCGCTCCGATGGCAAGAAAGCCCGGATGTCGGAAGCTCACCATGTTGAGCTGCTAACCATTATCAAGGAGATGAAGGAACTACTGGCCCGCATAGACAGAGAGATTCCTCTGATCCAGCTCGCCATCACTGCCTCTGGAGAGAGGATGAACACGACAGTGAACGCTGGCATCTCTCCGTCGAGACTGATGCAGGCGAGTGCCTTCTTGTCATTCGGGGACTCACACTTTGTGAACAACCCTAACCGAGCAGTCCCCATTGGGCCTTCTTTCACATTATCTCTTTACATGCTCTTCCGCGGTCATTCCAAGCTGAAAAGTGCCAGTTCCGTTCCTGCCACTCCTAGCACTGGAGGCAAGACATGGACCAGGGAGCCATCATATGGTGTTGGCGAAGGTGAACGGAAACCCATCTGGCAGGAGGTGGTGCACAAGGCTCGTGTACGGCTGGTTCGCACACCGCTAGGCTGGAAGTTTGACAAGACTCGCGGATACTGCCCCGGTGAGTCTTCTGATGGACCCGTAAACGGGTACTCTGCTGCCGTTGATTCGGCCCTTTCGATGCTTGGCCGCCCAGACGAGTATGCCTATCACTTGGAGATCATTGAAGATCTCGACGACGGACGTGTACACGATGATGATGCCGCAGGTGAGCCATTCGACGGCATCGATATGGCTGGAATTCGAGACTCCATTCCCATACATCAAGTTTCCAAGATTTTCTACACCGACACAGGGCGACTCCTGAACATCGGTAATGCTGAGGAGGGCGACAACAACCCGGTGCTATTACTGAAGAGAGACCTTCATGCCCCAAATCCGATCGAGCTCAAACGCCAATGGTACGCCGATCCGGAGCAGGCGGAGGCCTCAGAAGGAGAAACAGCATACGACACGGCCGCCGAAGATGATGAACAAGCCGATATCGATGCACAACTGCTGGCAGAGACCAAGTCTACTGAACTTGCGACCGCGGCAGAAGAAGGTCGATTAAGGAAAGCGTTAGGGCTGCCATCACATCTAGACCCTGAATGGCTCGCCCTGGAGGTCTTTGTCGAGAGTGATGACGAGTCTGACGACGATGATGATGGTGATGATAAGTCCAGCATCCAGTCTTTCAAATCAGCTACACCACGCGACAAGGTAGTCGACTCGAAACTCATTGATCAAATTCGCAACGTCTCCCTACAACCATACCCAAACACGCCTCCGAACCAACGGAAATACGTCCCATCGCCTTTGTCATCAACATCATCTTTACCAGCAGGAGGAGCGAATGGCAAGCAGCTGTTCCAGACACCAACACAAGTGCAAGGGGCTCAAAAGGAACCCAACAGCATGGACTCGTTCGTGGCCAGGTCACCATTCGGTGCCATCACTTCGTCACTATCGCTCATGGAAATGTTGATACGACTATGCAGCCTGCAGGAGTTCCAGCAGACGTCACACCTGTCGATTCCAGATCACATTCTTACCTTTTTCTTGGAGGAGACGTCGACGACCGGGCTACGGGGTGAGGAAAAGTGGGATATACGGAACGAGGCGAAGAGGCGTATGGGTTTTGATCCTTATACTGACACGCCTACCAAGTCGACTTAATCTGATGAGGGACGGAACCAAGGAGAAAAGGGGCGATAGTGACAGCATCTTGAGACGAAAAATAGAGGATGCCTCCTTTAAAGTCTCTGTACAACAAAGATCTTTATACTTGATAACCGCATATACAAACCATCTACACACTCGAGTACCGTTCATCCTCGATTTCGAAGACCCGTCCTGTGATCCATCATCTTCCTTTACCAACCCCTCTCACCCAACCTCTCACTCCCTCCCCTCAAAAGACATCTTCCCCAACCCAACCAACTCGGCCACCCGTCTCCCCAACCCCATAAACACCTCAGCTTCCTTCCCCCCAGGCTCACTAACCACCGTCGGCTTTCCCCTCCCGCCATCCTCCCCAATCCTCGGATGCAGCGGCACATCCCCCAAGAACTCCATCTCCATCTCCTCACACACCTTCCTCACCCCCTCGGTCCCGCCAAACACATGCGTCTCCTTCCCGCACCCAGGACAGCAGAAGACGCTCATGTTCTGCACCACCCCCAGTATCGGAATGTCCACCTTTCTAAACATATTCACGCCCTTCACCGCATCCTTGATCGCCAACGTGTGCGGGGTAGTCACGATGACTGCTCCGTCCACAACGACCTGCTGCGCTATAGAAAGCTGGGTGTCGCCCGTCCCGGGAGGTAGGTCCAAAACCAAAATGTCGAGCGAGGGATGGGACCAGTCGACTTCGTGAAGGAGTTGTTGGATGGCTTTGAGGAGCATGGGACCGCGCCAGACGAGGGCGGAGTCTTCGGATCCTAGGAGGTAGCCGATGGACATGGTCTTGACGCCGTAGGAGGTGAGGGGGAGGAGTTGGTTGTGGGGGTTGAGCGAGGGGGATAAAGAGGGGGAGGAGAGGTTGAAGAGGGTCGGGATGGAGGGGCCGAAGAGGTCGGTGTCGAGGATGCCGGTTGTGTAGCCGAGGCGGGAGAGGGAGAGGGCGAGGTTTGCTATGACTACTGGGTTAGAGATGTATAAAATAGAAAGAACTGAAAAAGGGGATTCGAGGGGTTGCTGAGCCATAAAGAGGATAGATAAGTGTCTGTGGGGGTATGTTCTGATCCTGTAGGAGGTGTGATGTTGTTTACTTTCCCCTGATCCAGTGGCTGGACAGGGATGAGGTGAGAAGATGAGGAACACTCACCAGCTATTGTGCTTTTTCCGACACCACCCTTGGCTGAAGAGACGGCAATGACCTTGTTTACATTTTTAATCTTACGCTTCTGAGGAAGACCTCGTTGGAAACGTGGAATGGTACCAGTTTTGGGGAGGCCCTATAATTGGATGTGTTGGTCAAGAGCTCCGAGTCATCTAATGTGTAAGTCGGGGGAAAGGTAGGTACCAGTGGATTCTCATGCTGGAGAGCTCTTGTGGCTTGTAACAGCCGGCTTATTGTCGGTCTCATCTTCTATCCTGTGCCTAGTAACCAAACTCAAGGAATCTGATAAACGCAAGAATTGGCTTATGATTTTAACAGATGAAATCCCGTTGCCATAACGGACGGAACTGAAGTCAGAGTGAAGTTCAGTTCTCCAACTTTCCCCAATTGGCGTCCCGAGGAACAGTGGTCGCAACGGGTGGAGCCCGTTTCTTGGTGCATCCGGACCCCTGCTCATCCGTCCCCACTTTGCCATCTGCCCGCTGTCACCGCCAAAATTTCCCATTCTCCCAGGCAAAGCTCTGATTTTTTCGGGCGTGGGGTTCCCGTTGTTCCATCAATTCGGCTCCTCTGTATTTTTCAGAACCATTGATTGAATCCATTCCCCCAAGCGCCATCTCGAATTATTCCTCTTCTTTGGCGCCAACACCACAACCACCACCACCACCACCACCACCACCAGACAGGGCCGCCATCATGCCATTGTACACCACAAAAAAGAGCAACAAGCTGCGGGCTTCCATGTTCGATGAGAAGCCTGCAAAGGGTATGACAAACGAAGCTACAACCCCCCCAAGACCCCCCAGTTACTGACATTACATTGGCAGACTACGATCCTGAAGCCGAGCCTCGCGATGGTGACGATGATCAGAGCGGAAGCGAAGCCGACAGCGATGTTGAACGCGCCGAGACGGAACACTATGTCACAGTTGGGTATGTCAATACCTTTCCTAAAACACAACATCAACTGATAACCAACACCCAACAGCAAGAGCAAGCTCCGAAAAGCAGAAGCACCCACACTCGGCCCCGAATACAGCGGTACCCGCGTCAGCCGCAAGGCCCTAGAGGAGAGCGACGAAGAGGACTTTGATGACCAGGAGGAAGACGACGAGGAAGATGATGATGACGAGGACGACCTCGAAGATGGCGAGTCCGGGTCCGGCTCCGAAGAGTTCGCCGACCCAGATACCGCGGACCTCGAACGCGACCACATCGACGAAGACGCCGAGATCTCCAGCGACAATGCGCTAGGGGAGGATGACGCAGACTGGTCGGAAAAGTTCACCTTCCGTGGAAGCTCCAAGCCCAAGACACCAGCCAAGACCCCCAAGAAGGACGACCTTGCGGTTCGCATCAAGAAGAGGCCCACTGCTGCTGACTTTATGTCCGACTCTGAGGATGATGAAGAGGAGGAAGATGATGAGGATCTTGAGGAAGACGAGGAAGATTCTGAGGAGGGCGAGCGAAATGGCCTGTATGACATGGAGGCTGAGGAGACAGATGACGACGAGGGTGAGGATGATGAGGAAGAACTCGACGGTGCTCTGCTCTCCGGCAGCGACGATGAAGAGGGCGATTCCGAAGAGGACGACGAGGATGGCGAAGAAGGCTCCGGCGACGAGGACGAGGACGAGGACGAAGATGAGGACGAGGAGTCTGGCGACGACGACGACAAGAACGACGTTAACGCTGAGCTCCGCAAGATCATGGCCGAAGACGAGAAGAAGATCGTTTCCACCTTCTCGAAAGCCGCCGAGGCCGACGCCCAAAAGGGTGTTGCCGTCCGCTCCCAGCGCCGCATCTTCGACTCCATCCTCAACCTCCGCATCCGTCTCCAAAAGGCCCTCATCGCCGCCAACACCTTCAACTGCGTCGAGAAGCCCGAAAACTTCAAGGAGAAGCCCTACGAGGCCGCCGAGGAAGCCGCCGTCAAGCTCTGGAACACCATCGACTCGGTCCGCAACAGCTTCCTCCCCGAGCAAGTCAAGGCCAAGGCCGGCGAGAAGCGCAAGCGCGACGCCATCGAGCTCGACACGCCCGCGCAGGAAATCTGGGAGGTTCTCGAGGCCGTCGAGGGTCCCGCCAACAAGTACCGCCGCCAGGTTCTCGACAAGTGGTCCACCCGCGTGCGCAGCACCACCGCCAGCATGACCAAGGAGCGTCGCCTCGCGCAGTCTGCAGGCTCCCAATCGCTCGTCTCCGTGCTCGACGACCAGCTCCTCAGCGCCGACCACCTGATCAAGAAGGCGCGCACGCCGCGCTCGTGCGCTCCCGCGCAGGCGGCCAAGAAGGTCGAGGAAGACGCCGACATCTACGACGACGCCGACTTTTACCAGTTGCTGCTCAAGGAGCTAGTTGACCAGCGCAGTTCGGATTCTGCTGCGCCTGGAGAGTCCGTGGCGACCGTCAGGTGGGCGGCGCTCAAGGAGGCCAAGACAAGGAAGCAGGTGGATCGGAAGGCGAGCAAGGGTCGCAAGTTGCGGTTCACGGTGCATGAGAAGTTGCAGAACTTTATGGCGCCGGAGGATAGAAGGTCGTGGGAGGAGCATGCTATCGATCGGTTCTTTGGCACGCTGTTTGGACAGAAGATGGTGCTTAAGGAGGATGAGGCGGAGGCAGAGGCGGCGGAGGAGGATGAGGAGATGGGTGGTGTTAACGTTGAGGAGGCTGGTTTGAAGCTTTTCCGGTCGTGAGTGACGGTAGAGACATACGAGGGAGAAGGATATATCCTGAATATGGATGAGAAATATGCATAGATTATAGTTGGAGAGAGAGCGAATGCTCCTCTGTTGCAATACCCGCATTTACGAGGCGTGCAAAAGGAATTTGTTCTTGATATCATCAGCTTCATTCTTCGATTATCATGATAGACTTTGAATTTGGGTAACTACCTAACAGCAATAACTACACGAACCCCTATCCAGCTCGTTCTATCCTTTGGAAGTGCTAAGAAATGACACATCTCAACAAACAAAGTTGTTCATAAACATAACATGCCAACATCCTGTACCTATACCCAGACAAGTTCCAGACTAAACCAAGCATACCGAAGCCCAGCCATTCATCATGTATCATAACCTCATCATACACTCATAACATCAAGGCAAAGAAACTAAAAAGCCCATTGCTCCTATCCATCTCACCACCTCCGCCCAAAAACCTCATGCTCCCTCCTCGCCCCCGTATGATTAGCCGCCGCACCAGCAGTCCTCCTCGCCGGCGTCCTCCCCGCAGCAGCAGCAGCAGCAGCATTCTCTTCACCGTTTCCAGACCCACCATGATCAGCACCATAGACAGCAGCCCTACTACTACTATCACTACCATCATGCTTGAACAAGTCCAAAATCTCCTGCAACCCCAACTTCAATCCCTGGCCCTTCTTCTTCTTGTTCCCTCTCTCCGTCGACCCTTCCACCGCCGTCTGCGCCAACAATCTCTTCTTCTCCTGCAGCTCCAGGATCCTCGCCTCCACCGTCCCTCTCACCGTCAACTTATAGACAACCACATCGACCGTCTGCGTCAGTCGGTGCACGCGATCAATAGCCTGTTCCTCGACAAAGGGGTTCCAAAAGGGTTCGACGATAATCACCCTCGTCGCGGCCGTCAGGTTGAGTCCCAAGGATCCGCACTTGAGCGAGCACAGCAGGATACGAGTGCGCGGGTCTTTGCGCAGGGAATGGAGCGACGCTTCGCGCGCGTCGTTGGGCATTTTTCCGTCGTAGCGGACGTGCTTGATGTCTGGTAAGTGATGCCTCAAAAAGGGCTCGACGAGGTCGAGCATCGAAGTGAACTGGGAGAAGACGATGAACTTGTGGGTGGGGGCTTCGCGGCGGAGGATGGCGATGAGCTCGTGGATCTTGGAGGAGATTTGCACGGGACCTTTGGGGGTGCGCTTGATGCCGTATTCGGCTTCGGAGTCGGTTTCGGAGGAGTTTTCGAGTTCTGAGTCCGAGATGGCAGAGTCTTCAGAGGAGGAGGCGGCGGTTTCTGATTCCTCGGATTCGGATTGCTTGAGGACTTGCGAGCTGAGCTTGTAGACGGAGGCGAAGGTATCGTCTTCGTCGCCGGAGCCGACTATTTCGTCTGAGTTGACGCTTTCGTCGTCGTCGTCATCGTCGTCATCGTCACTATCTTTGACGACGAAGCTGTCCTCTTCTGGGTCCTCTGAGTCTTCAGAGATCTCTTCGTTGGAGTCGATGTCCTCGCCGGTGCCCTCGGCGTTCTCGTCGTCTGTGCCGCCAGCAACACCAAGGTCAAGTGCGCTTCTCTGTGACTCTCCCACGAGCCAAGTGCCTTCATCCTCTTCATCGTCACTATCGATGACTCGCTTCCTGTTATCGCGAGATTTTTTGTCCTTCTTAGGTGTCTCCTCCTCGTCCTCCCACTCTTCCCCCTCTTCCTCATCATCACTGTCCACCACAACCTTCCTACCCCTTCCTCTGGTCTTCCTCTCAACCTTCACCTTCTCCTTCACCACACTCACCTTCTTCTTTTTGTGCTTCTTGCTCTCCTTGCTCTCCACGCTCCCCTGCGTACCCTCCTGCTCCTTCATCAACTGGCTCAAACTATCTTCACACCCTTGACATCTCACCTGCCCCTCCTGAATCTCCTTCTTCGTCATCTCCCCCAGACACATGTCACACTGCCTCGCCTGGATGCCCATCCCGCCCATCATATCAGCCAAGTCATCCACACTACTGGTCTGACTTTGCGAATCATAGGCGTTCTTCTTCTTTTTGCCACCAGGCGTCGGCGCAGTCGCCGAGTCCACCGCCAACGCATCCCGGTCCTTGTCAAGCTTTGTCTGCGCCAGCCTAGGGTGATTGCAAGCCTGCCTCAGCCGCAACAGCAGCACGAGCGCGTTGGCGTAGTTGACCGTGCGGCCCTTCATCATTTTCTCGAGACTCTGGTCGGCACGCTCCTCCAAGGCCTTGTAGAAGGCACTTTCGGCGGGGCTGAACTCCGTCTCGATGGTTACTACTTTACGCTCCGTGACTTTGAAAGCCGCTTCAGGCGCCTTTTCGCCATTCTCTTCGGCCTTGGCCAATGCTTCTTTGCCGCCGGCTACAAGGGCGCCCTTCTCGGTGAGAACTTCCTTGGTGCGGCGTTTCATGAAGCAGCGGAGGATGCTGTGCAGGCGTTGGATCGCAATGTGGCCCTTGCCTTGCTTCATGGGCGTGTCGATCTGGGCTCGCCACTCGGCTAGGTTATCGTAAGGCGCGATGCGCAGGAAATGAATGAGGGACTGGAGCTCGTCAAGATTGTTCTGCATCGGCGTGCCCGTGAGGCACCAGCGATATTCGGAGCGCAAGGCACAGCATGCCTTGGCGGCTTTGGTGTTGCGGTTCTTGATGCTGTGGTGTCATATGTTAGCCTGTGTGAAGCTTTGGAGTATATGACCTTCAGAACCAACCTATGGGCCTCGTCGAGAATGACGCGGAACCAGTGTACGCCGAAACATCCCGCTTGGGCGCCCTTGTTTGGGTCGGGGTGAGACTTGTCATGCTCTGACACCAGAATCTGGTAGGTGGTGATGACCACATCATATTTGGCGAGCTCGGCGGGAACTGTAGATCGCTTTGGGCCGTGATGAACACATACTTTGATGTTCAAGTCGGGCATGACGCGATCCTTCAGTTCGGCCTCCCATTGTCGGATGAGAGCCAGTGGCGCAACGACAAGTGTGGCCTTGCTGATGTCTTTGAAGTGGGCTTTCCAGCCTGGGGCGGAGGACGATTCGGGTTTTCGGTTGCCAATGATCAAGGAAATGGACTGCAATGTTTTGCCCAAGCCTAGATGAAAGTTAGTATAGAGTCAAAAACAGGCCACCATAGAGTCTAAATACCCATATCATCTGCGAGGAGTCCACCCTTGGGAACACGGCCACGCTTCAAAGGGCCAAGCTCGCGGTTAATCATCCATCTGACACCCTCAACCTGATGCGGCAGCAAGGGAACAGCCAGACCAGGTAGATGCCCAGTAGAAGAAACAATCGACTCCTCCTTCTTCTTGGACTCTGACACCGCACCCTTCGTCTTTGCCTTGGCTCCCTCGTCCTCACTCTCCTCATCATCCAGTCCACCCTCCAACAGCGCTTTCAGATCCTCCTTCGCTTTATCAGGATCAGTATAAAACACATTCTCTCCAAACGCAGCCGCAGTCCCCTTCGAAGCCGTGCCCCTACCCGGCTGCAAAGGCGACGGTGCCGGTGCCGGGTCCACATCCAACGAGCTGAACAGCTGCATGCCCATGCTGTTCCTCTTGATTTCCGTCGACGGCTTTGGCGGGGCGTTGGCCTTGAGAGGTCCGCTAGATCTGTACAAGTCCTTGTGAAACTCGGGTCGGTTCTTGCCCCGGTCGTTGAAGAGGTTGTTGTACTTGGATCCGCCGATGGCGTGGCTGCTGGTGCCGCCGCGGCTAGCATTGCCGTGATGGCTGGCAGCGTTCTTGGTGTTGTTGCTGGCGTTAACGGGCGTGAACTGAGATACTAGCTGTGTGGGCTGGCCGAATTTGGGGATGGGTGTGGAGGCATGGTTTTGACCGAGGCCGTGGACGGTCATTCCTCCACCATGAAACTGTTCCCGTTTGTCGGAGGAAGGATGGCTTGGTGTAGTAGGGCTGCTAGCCGTCAAGTCAACAACATCTGCGTCTCCGCTGAAGATGCGGGATGAGGACGTGTTCTTGTTGTTGTTGTTGTTGTTGTTCTTCCCTTTGGGCGTGCCATTGCTGCCCTTGCTACTGGCAAAGGAAAGGTCTTGTTGTGAAGATGACATGCTGATGCCCTCGTCTGTAGCCTGTGAGTTGATGAGGTCGAGATCTTCGTCACTCAAGGAGTCGTAGGCAAAGGGTTCAGAGAGTTGGCGACGGGAGGCCATGGTTACAATCTAGGCGGGGTGGTGTTTCCCTAGATGTGAAGGTAGGTTTGCTGGATCGATAAGTATGAGGTTGTCGCTTGCGCTTTCTGCAAGGCACTGGCACTGTTTGTTTGTTTGTTTGTTTGGTCAGGAGCTCGCTTTCGGAATGTTGCCACTTTCTGTAGATGGGTGCCTCCGGTCCAGCCAGGGGAGGTAAGCAGGTTGTTTGGTGTTGATGTCAACTTCCAAGTTTTCCAACACATAAAGTTGTCCCGAGGCGGCTTGCTTTGCTGCCTAAAAGTTCCACGGATTCGGGGAAGAGGGAAGAGTTGAGGTAGTCTTGAGATTCAGCTCGGATATTCTTATGTACACGGAATGTTTGCCAGTTGGCGCTCCTCAAGTCATCAACTTCAAATTATCACTTTCCGAGGGCGGGGTCGTAAACTACTCCGTCGCGTGTTGCAAGCTTGTTGGACGCAAGTATTTACAAAGTGACGAATCTAGCTTCGGGAATGGCATCCCAGGGCAACCGGCATGGCAACCGGCAGGTAGCTTACCCCGCCCCCGCAGTGAGCCCTTCACCAGGGCCCTCGCCGCGGTGTACTGTAAATAAAAGGGTGAAAATACACGTATAACCCCAACCCTGGCTCTCTCCTAAGACGAAGAAAGGACAGCAAGTCATACAAACATTCCTTTATCACCACCTGTTGAAGAGAGAATGTTGACAAAAAAAAGTAGAGCCATCAGAGTCTATAAGCGCTTTTATCTTTCCATTTAACGAAATGCCCTCAAATCTCTATATATGTAAACTCAAACAACCATCCTCTCCACCCTCCCCTCCAACCCCGTTTCCTCCTTCTCATCCTCCAACAACACCACAAAATCATTCGTAGTCTGATACTTCAAATCCAACCGGTGATGTTCCCTCCTCACTCCCGCCGGCAGTTCCACTCCCTCCTTCCACTGCTCCCGTACCTGTTTCTGGCTTGTCGCCGACCCGTCCCTATTCGTCACCCACCCATTTCCATTCCAGCCCAAACTTGGGCCTCCCCTATGCCCATGCCCACCTCCTCGTCCTCCATGCCCTCCTCTTGCCGCCGCCGCTCGCTCCCTATCTGCCCTCGGCGCCGTGGGAGGAACCCTCCCAAACGGTGACGCAGGGTTAGCATAAGCAGAAGAAGGTTCAAAGGGGCCCATCATCCTCGGCATGCGAATTGATCTGTCGTTCGCTTCCACTGACAATCCATCGCCCGTTTCCATGAGCGAGTACTTGATCGGAACGGTTGTGTACCCCTCCGCCACGCCTTGGTTTATCTGGGCTTGGTTTCTCGAGGAGTGGGGGAAGAACGTGGAGTGGGTGACTGACAATGGGCCGGTGAAGTAGGGGTAGTTGTAACCGTAGATGGGGTCGATTTCCACCGGGTTTGAAGGGCTGGAAGGGGTCGGTTGAAGATTGGCTTCTATCACGCCTCCTGAAACGCCCAGATAGAAATTGGGAGCCGAGTCGGAGGCTTTGGCGAGGGACCATGTCCGGGTGAAGCCGTGTTGGTTGCTGCGGTCGTGTTCATGGCCGGGCACGCCGCGCGGGAGGAAAATGGTTGCGTTAGGCCGGTAGTAGAGGTGTTTTGAGAGGGAATGCCAGTGACATTCTAGGCCTGCTAGATGGTCGCATCTTGCACGGCCGGTGGCAAAGGCGTTGGGTGCCTTGGAAAAAGGTTGGTGAGGCTTGGGGAACGGTTGGCGACCCAGACATGGGAGAGCCGAGGTGTAGGAGTAGGGTTTCGGCCATCGGAAGTCGAAAATCTTGATGGTTGCGCCCGAGTTACCAGCGCCAGCAACGAAGCGCTCCGTTCCGTAGGTGAGGATGGCTTCGACATGGTCCCAAGGCTGGATATTGTCCTGGTAGACGGCGTCATACGGAGAGGACGTTCGTAAATCCTGAAGGCGACAGGTACCGTCTTTCCATCCCGAGAGAAGCAGTGTTGTCCCGCCCGACTTTTGCTCGTTGGGATTGGCGTAGACAGGCGAGAGCGAGTTCGCACAGATATCTGCATCAGGAATACTCAACCCGCCCACGCCTCCCGAGCGGATGATACTCTTCGCCGTAGTATGATGCGTCCACCCCGACTCCGTGATCGAAAGGTACTGCAGTCGTTCACTACACCCCTTAAGCGCCAAAGCCATCACATTCCCCTGACCGCCCATCCACTTTGCGCTACACAACTGAGCCGTGCTGCTGTCCAACACGCTCCTCTGCAGATCGTAGACCACCACCGGTGACACCTCCTCGTCTTCCCCTATTGCCTCCTCCCCATCCGGCAAAGTATAAACACCCACCGCTTTCTTCGTCGCCGCCGCCACCAACCTCCTTCCCCCGGGGGTATCATACAACACATCCACGCTGTTAATTGTATCCTGCACCAGTCTTTCCCCTTCCTCCCCTTCATGTGGTTTGAACTTGACAATCCTCTTCCCAAACCTCTCTCCCTCCGCCTCCACCAGGGCCAAATCCCCATTATCCCTCCCCACCACCACCGCCCTTCCATACCCCCTTCCATTTCCACTTTCCTCTCCGCCTCCGTGTTTCTTGACTCCTCCGGATCCCTTCCCTCGCCCACCACAAAGCGGCACATCCCCCTTCACCACATGCAAAGCCCTCACATCATCATACCCCTTCCTAAACCCTTCCTCTTTCCCACTGGCTTTAAACCAACTAAACTTCGGCGCACTCTTACTTTTTTGTTGTCCACCTCCCCAATCTCTCCTCCTCGCTACCAAATCCTCCCCCGCTCCCCAGACAAGTAATTCCCTCCCCGTCGCAAAGTCAAAGTGCGCATCCACCACCGACTGAAACATATTTCCCCTTTGCCCCTGCGCACCCCCTCCTCTCTGTCCATGTCCAGCTCCAGCAGCTCCAGCAGTTCCAGCCCCAAAGTCCGAAGCAGGATAAATAGCACAAAACCCCACCGCCCGCTTATCCCAACACCTACTTTGCCAGGTTAAACTCTCCGCTACGTCCTGCCATGCGTACCTCCCTCCTCCTCCTCCATTTCCACTTCCATTTTGTTGTCCATTTCCACTTCCATTTTGTTGTTGTTGTTGTTGTCCTCCTCCACGTTGCCCTCCCAGCAGCAGGGAAGAAGAAGAAGAAGAAGAAGAAGAAGAAGGAACAGGAATGCTCTGCACCAGCGAAGGAAACCTCGCAATCACAAAGGCGCGCCACCCCTCCGAGGTTACGAGCTGACGTAGGCGGCGACAAGTCAAGCCCAGATGAGCAATGTCGGAGGCGGTGGGGAGGGAGGATAAGATCAAGAGAAGAATTTCGTGGGGGAGGTCTGCTAGTGCTAGTGCTGGACACTGATCGGAGGGATAATGATGGTGGTGGGATAGGGTGGTCATTGTTGCTTTCCGGACAGTTTGGTTGTTGGATGTTGTTTATAGGGAGTTAGTTGTTCATGAGCGGGAGGGTTTGGTTTGGTTTGGGGGGATGGGAAAGTGGAAGGTAGAAAGTGAGGTAGATAGGGTGGATATGTGAGGATGGAGAAAAAGAAGGGAAAAAAAAAAAAAAAAGATATGTTTCAGGTAGAGGTGGTGGTGGTGGTGGTGGTGGTGGTGAGCAAGTCAGATATAGACGTGAAGAGTATTTTACACTACCCTTGTATTGACCGTTATGATCTGCCCGAGGAAAATTACTCAATGACGTCGATTCTTGTAGGAGTGGAAGGGTCCAGATGGGTAAATTACAGTATATTAGCGTATTGACGCTTCCCGTCCGGGTGCTAGGCAGCAATGCCTTATGAGCAGCGCCTAGTATGCTTTTCCACCATGATCTGAGCAAAAGATAAGACAAATGACCTTTATCAAATCCGAGTTCTGAACTCATTGAGGCAGTGTAAGCTCAGCTCCTGCGACGTGGTCGCGGTCGTGGAAGAGAATTTGGCGCTAAAAAGTGATCACTATTGAACGGCCCCTTAGCGTGCTACGCATGTACCGAAAATCTCGTTCATGGCTAGCAATGACCTTCTTTATCTGTAGCCGAACTTCGCAAGTTCACACTTTTGGCTACATTCTACATTTGTCATCTGGCACTTTGCTTAGGACGTGTTTCGAACTACTATAATTTTATGACTATCTACGTTTTGAAGGACCAGGGATGATATAGACACAGTATAACCAATTACAGTCCCCTTTTCACTCCGTAGACCAACAGACACACACTCACACTCACCCTCATCAACACACACGCCACTCAAATGAACCAAGCGAACATTCTGTATACCGCTAAAATTCCAAATACCACTAAACTAAGTCTCAAAGGCTATTTTTTTACTCGTACTCTTTGCTCGCTTCTCACTCGTCGTCGTCCTTCCACCTGGGACAGACCATCCAACCAACAACTCATCATCTATCCTAGCCTTACGAACCAAGACCAATCATCAACCCACACACCAGTTCCCAGAGATTAGCACATCCCTTCAAGCGCCATAGTCCTCATATACCTCCCCTTCACATCCTCCGGCAACAGCCCAAACAACCTCGGATCAGCACCCATCCCACCCATCTCGCTCTGACCATTCACCCGTCCCTTGATCAACTCCTCCGCCATATCCGCTACCGCCGCCTCCCTCTTGACATCACTCGCGCCCGACGCCTTGAGTCTATCACCCAGCGCAACCAGTCCGTCCACCAACAACTTGTCAAGTCTC